TTACCGGTCCTTAAGAATTTGGCCTTGTTTAACATGAAAAATTTTGAAAAAGACAGTAATTACTAAAGACTGAGTGCAGTAAAGGATTAGAAGGTCAAGGTCATGATAACATATGTCAAGATTGTGTAAAACATGACAAAAATCTGAACCAGTAGATGACAGTCAGAAAACTCTGCTACACTTAACCAATAAATGAGTTATAGAGGCTAAAGTGACTTGATGCATAATGTCTGTTTATGAATACTCATTTACAAGTACTTAAGGATTACAATACTCCTGAGTATTTCAATAGACATATTTATAGCGAATCACTAGTATTGTGTATCATTCTAAAGAGCTAGAATATTTTCTATTTAATCCATGATGCACTTGGTACATTAATCTGTGGAGTCACAATAGATGCCAGGCAGTAGATGAGCCACTTATCATTATATGTAAAATTCTACATTTTTTTTTTAACCTTTTTTTCCTTTTTTATATAGTTTAACGTTTGACATTTTCTCCTGTGATTTGTTTAAGGCCTCAACAGAGATAATTAACAGGCCTCATCACATGTAGTTAAGGAGAATGCCAAGAGAATGAAGGAACCTAACAGACGATGGATACTGTTTCAGACCTTCTCAGTGTTCCACTATCCATTAGTGCCTTTCTCCGTTTACAGTTCATTTACAATCGTCGTTTATTCTTTACACAATGGACAAGAGGAAACAGATCCAATTTTCCACCTCAGAGGTCTCAGAACTTTGACAATATTGCCTTATCAGTCAGGGGAATAATTTTGTTCCCATTTGTCTTTGTACTAACTTTGAATAGACATTACGGTGCTAACAGCACAGATCTCAAATTAAACTTATTTGCACAAGATTAGGTGTTTTTTTCTGTTTTTTTGTTTTTTTTAGCAGTTTGCATTAAAGGTGACAATGTGTTCTGTACTTGCTGTACACTGTGGAAGTTCCTCTCCATTGCCATGAGACAGATCACTAAAAGACTGCTTGTTACATACCAGAGATCATTACAATGCCAAGAGGAAATCACTGTAACATTATTAATGGATACTGGCACATAACCAAGTAAATATAAATAATTGCATCCGGTTGATGTGCTTTTAGTATTTTCAGATTGCAACAGTTACAAAAATAATTGATATTTTGACAGTCCTGTATAAAAATAATTTTATAATAATAGACAGTAACTTGATCAGTGATTATATGACACCCTTGGGAATGGATTTATGGAGGACAAATATACATTGCAGCTCTATAACCATCAATTTAATTTTAGACCGCAATTTTAGAATAACGAGCATCCAATCCAAAACTGCATACATTTGCCTTGACTCAAGTAACAACCCACTGTGCCTCCTTCCAGAGCCGATTTCAACAGGCAAAACCTCTATCACAATTTGTATCATATAGATATTCCTCATCTGCCGTGTACCCAATCCATCTAATCCAGTTATCTGTATTTATTTGTTTTTTGTTTTTATTTTTGCAGTGAATTTAAAAAAATTCCCAAGTGCCTAAATAGTCTGATTGTGAATATGTGTCTGGTGGATAATTTTTCCAACAGCTAATTTAGTCTAGTAAATATTACAAATGGGGCTTTCATTTCACTATTTAGTAAACAAACCCAAATATTTAATCCTGGCATCCCATCTATAAGAATAAAATCCATTGTTCTGCCTGTGCCTAAACCCTTCTTAGGTCTGCTGTTTACCAAAGATTCTCTGCTGCCTCTCCGGTTTACCAAATGAAATAAGTAGTTAACAGTTACTCCTCTCTGGAACTTCCATGATGCTCAAATCTGTCCAAGTGACCTCCTGTCTATTGCTATACCACCAAGGTTCCTGGTTAACTCAACTAAGTAGTTATCTGTTACCAAGCCATATCAATCCTCAAAGCTGCCAAGAACTCTTAAATTAAAGGTAATATACAGAAGAACTGTGTGTGTCCATAATTTACAAATACAGTGCCTTGGTGCAATCCCACGTTGAAATATAAACCAAATTAGAAAAAGGGTGCATTCACAGGTCAAAATCTTGAGGAAGACCTCAACAGGCTGAAACGTTGATCAGTTATTTTTGTGACTTTATGTTCCAATAAACACCATTGAATTTATGGAAAGACCTGTGAGTGCACTATTTTTCTAATTTGCTATATATATATATACATATATATATATATTTGTTGCATGTATGTATGCACAACCCATTCATTTTCAAGTTGACTCTAAACGTTCGGGCCTAACAGTCTATACGAAGAGCAACATCTTACCCTCTGCTTCTAAAAAGTGCAGCAAGATTATATGGGTCCTTTCATTTCTACTGTCAGCATTACATAAGCAGTCCAGAGATTGATAAAGATTGCTATAGCAGTTTTAAATGACTTTACTTTAAAAAAAATCTATTTTTGTCACACCTACTGTGTGTGAGAAAAATAAAATTTTTGCATTTATACATACATGCTAGACTCTATGTGATATATTGCATGATAAAGAACATTATATACTGTAGAAATCTTTTTATTTCCCAAATGTTTTTATAAAACTTTAAAGAATAAGTTTGTCGGAAGAGCAATCTATACACAAAATTTCTGTTATATTATATGTTTATATGCTATCTATTTATCCTTCACTTTATATAAATGTTATGCTAATATTTTTTTCAATCAAAAAGTGCTCGCTACTGTCTCCTCCAGTAAATGCACAATATTGCACCACCAAAAATTGTGACACCTTTTTGTTACTGATGTATTTCTGGAATTCCATTTGATTGTGGTAAAATATGCTGTTTGGTGGGACCTTGTAGCCTACTTCGCATAAGGTTCTAGATAATTCATGTTTAGTAGACTTGGAAACGAACAACTGTGAACTGCGTCAAACCAATAAAATGGCTGTTAATCTATTGACGAACAAATTGATTTGTTCGTATACAGATTTACAGGCATTTCTTTTGTACAGCATTGAAAGCCATACATTGTGTTGCTCACAGGAGTTACATTGAAAGGGCTCATTTTTCATCCGGCGCAAACCCCAGTTATTTTATGCTAACTGGCCATTAGTACCAGCGGCTGTAAAAAATTATGCTAGACAAAAAGACTCTTTACTGCCATGGAACACCATGGAGCATGCATGCATCTACTGATTATTTTATTCAGTGTTTTAATGGTTTCTATGATTTCTTAAGGAGAGGTTTAGCTTTCACCAGACAAAAAGAAAGACATGTACATAAATGGTGTGCACGTACCACAGGGTTAGATATACACCAATTGGTAAATTTTAGTAAGTTCCATTTGGGATAGTTTTGCTGTTTGCTTTTCGTCATGTTTTGTTTGTTTGTTTTTTTTAATCTTATCCCAATGTACACAAGGATATTTACTATGTTGTTTAAAATATCTGATAGGATTAAATGTAATCCAAATATTATAAAAAAAATACTACTCTTTTTCTAGATTTCCAACATAGACAACATTGCTAGGCTTTTCTTATAATGTCTGAAACAGATCAGACAGAAACCCATTGTTTTGAGTCACTCATATGATTTTGAATGAGTTTACAATGAGCTCAAGATTGTCTTCTCTCATGGTTTAGATAGAGATACAAACACATTATTCCAGCATTGCTCAATCTCTCCTTTATGCTCCGAGCAATTCATTGACTTTCATAACCCACCTATCTCTGTCTCACAGTTATCTCTCCAGTCCACAAATATTTAAGCCGTTAATCTGTAGCCTGGCACTTCTAAACAGGATTAAACAGAACAAACTCACTCTCTGACCCTGGCGCGTGTAATGCTCTAAGATATACCGTACATTGACTTCTCACTTTACACAAGTTTGTATTTGCAAATTTGAGCATTGAAGCTTGCCGCATGTTACATCGCTATACAATACTAACACTTGCAAAACTTTACCTCTAGTTTTAAAAACTCCAACCTAAACTTTGTTGTGAGTAAAAAAATAAAACAAGTATACTTAGCTGCTATCATGGCTTGGCATTGGTCCAACTACCGATTCATGGACCATTAGCAGCTTCAATTAACTGTGTGGCTGACTGTGACTTGAGCTACACTGTATTTCCATATTAGATGAAGATCTCAGTTTATCAGATTATGTATAATATCTTTTATTACATTATGTTTGTTTTTGCTTAATGGCACTTTACTGTAAGTATTATTACTGTGGAACCCTGTTATACACACAGACACATCAACAATATGGAGCTCCTAGAAATGAGGAGCATTAGCATAGAAAAGAGGGACAGAGGGATTTGGGCCCCATCACTTTGCCTAGACGAGTACGTGTTACAAAATGTATGTACATTTACAGACAATGGACATCCGGTGATAGGCTTAGAGTATTGTCTGATGCTCTCAGCCTATCACTGCTGCCCCTTCACTGCTTGTCGTACTAGTTCAGCATAAAGAGTGCAGCAAAGAAGAGGCAGCAAATGGGACACTATTTCTGTGTTAAGGAATTTGAAAACATACAACACTAGAAATTAAAGAAGTGCCAGGGGAATTCAGGCACCATCTCAATGAAGTGGTTTTGGTTTGCGAAGGGTATTTGTTTAATCAGTTAAAGAAAAAATAAACATTGCAACTTAAATATAACTAGCAAAATGTATTCAATTGTAAATTAAAATACCTGTCAACTTAGTGGTACCTCAAAGAAATATAAACACAATGTCTTTTCCATATGGAATATGGGTTTATAGGTTAATGACACACTTGTCAACTATTAGCATCATCAATACAGTTGGATGTCTGTAAACTTTACAAATCTTAAAAAGGTGCTGCACATTACTGTTGTCACTACTTTGTTGTCAACTCGACAGTATGAGCCTATCAAGTTCGACATTGCAAGTCAACAGTAAAATCACACTTTACTCTGTTTTGAAGACA